CTTGCATTTCGACGACAACACACTACACATTCCTTGATTTTTTTCTTGACTTGCTGCTGTGCTTGCAGAATCGAAAACTGCTCCCGTAAGTCGACGAGTGTGTCTCGTACACCAGCTTGTACAAGTCGGTGATGGTGGTGAAAAACTATCAGTTCCGAGTAAGGATGCCTTTTCGGAAAAACGATTGGGTGTTGATCGGACTAATGTTTCTCACTGTAGTGAAGCTGTCCTGTTACGCGCAGAATACCGGCGTCGTCTAAAAAAGTCGAGGTATTACGCAGAGGTGACGTCGTGGAGGGCTGCTCGCCTCCTCAAACTGCCCTTACCTCTTCCGAAAATGCTTCTATTTGAACTTGACGTAACCAGTACATGTCAGCGCCAGCTATTTCGTAGGAGGTGAGAAATCCTTTTGCAGTTGTTTCATGATTTAGTTTGCCGAAGAATCGCAAAACCCAGGCAGTGATCCGGTGTAAACGAATAATGTAATTGTTTTAGCGACATGAATTATCGGTTGTGCTAACTGGTGTGTTGTACTTTGGGTAGACAGTAGCTGGTGGACTTCTACGTGGTGTGGTTCTCTGTCCTCTTTGGTAGAGAAGTGCGATGGTGCTCCGACTTGCTGTGGCAAGTATTCGGTGCCTTTAAGTAGCCACGAAGATACATGCCACTACAATTCAGAAGAAGAAAGCTGCTCGGCATCGGATCCTCTGGTGATCATATCTGCTGGGTTTTCTTTCTATGGACAGTGCTTACACCAATTTTTGTTTGTAGCAGCTTGAATCTCGTCTGCTCTATGGTGTACAAATTGCTCCCAACCCCGAATGTCGCCTCTGATCTAGTGGAGCGCTATCATTGAGTCCGTCCACAGGTGCACGCTGCTGAAGAAATCTGAAATGGACCGCATGACAAGTACGTACAGTCTCGATGCGATTAAACAAGCTAGAAGCTCCAACCTTACCAAGGTTCATTCTTTGATTGAGGCTAGGCGAGCCTTCGAAGCATGATTGTGGAATGAGCTCGTTCTTCATAATTGAAGTTGCATAGTAGGTGACTCCGTCGTAAGCAGATGAACTTGCATCGGCAAACACTTGAAGCGTGCTGTTCTTGATCTGTGGGGCCAAGTTGTGCAGGCAGAAGCATGGTGGTTCGATGCCATAGATAATAGGGATCACACTACGTTTTTCATTCAATCAGAAGTAAAGGCAAAAGAACAGTGTCCTACTCGACGTTGAGCTTCCAGATGCGCTGAAAGCAAACTTTTGCTCTGGTAGCAAACGGGGTTAGGAATCCCAGTGGGTCGTACAGCCTTGCAGTCTCTTCCAGTATAAAGCGCTTCGTGTCTATGCGAGATTTCACAAAGTCAAGGACAGGTCCAGAGAAAAAGAACATGTCGTCATTATCTGAATGCCAAACCAACCCAAGAACCGTGAAAACATGCATTGGCTCGCTGACAAGAAATTCTTCACAACCTTGTTTCAAGTGCAAGTGCTTGAGAACGGCTCGTTCTTTTGATGCCCACTTGTAACTTTCGTGGCAGTGGCAGCAAATGTTTCGTTGTTTCCGCGCACACATTGATAGCTTCATCAACGCTGTCGGCTCTAGTGGTTATATAATCTATGTAGATACAATCGTGCAGCCTTGAGACGGTATCGGAGTATTCTGGGGACATCTTGTCTAAATGACGTCGAATAATTGCCGCAAAGGCTTGGAGTTGTACCGAAAGGGACCCGTGTCACCCGGAAAGTGATCACCTTTGGGAGTGATTCGTTAAGTACAACAGGTTTCTTATACCACGAGTATCACAAGGAATTTCTAACAACTTTCTTGATCAAAGTTTGCAGAAATGTCTTTTCAATGTCGGCTACAAGAGCGATGCGGTGGCGATGAAATCTTAACAGTAGGCTTACCAGATTGGCGTTCAGGTTTGGCCCACTTCAGAGACCATCGTTGAGAGAAATGTGCTCTTTTGCATGCGAAGAAACTTCGAAGAAAACACGTGTTTTTGTTGACTTGTCTTCTTTGATCATGGCGTGGTGAGGCATATAATATACTGGACCCATTTCGAGTACCGTGTCGGCAACCACTTCAGCCATGCAATCTTTGGCATATCTGGAGATGGCTGTGTGATACGATGTCAGTAACTCCAAGTTTCGAAGAAGCAAGCCTTTTTGTGATTAGATTTAGCCGTCCTTGACTTGCGGCTTTGTTGTCACGTAGAATATCCGTTTTCCACGAAAGTATTACTTCATAGCGACCATTCATTTGGTTGACGGTTTCTTTAAATTATGTCAAACCATGTTCATCTTCGTTCTGTGGCGATTCCATTCTCATGAAGTGAAGAATCAAAAATCTTTCCATTGAGTCATTGTCACGGACGGCCATTTTTGGCGACCCCGCGTCACGGCAATTAACGGGTGCCGTACTTTCCCACTGACCATGGGAACGGCGGGTGCATCAAATAGAACCGAGAAGTGCAGAATGGGGGGCTCTTCTTCGAACGTCGCAACCGACGTTTGATCCTTTTGTAACTGCGGCGGCGTCTGCAGGGTCGTGGAAGGCCGCGATGTACCCCGAACAAGGATTAGCCTACGGGACGCACCGGCTGAGAGCCAAAGAGTCTGACTGTTCCCACGGAGAAAAGCGTGGGAAAACCTCTGGTGGCCAAGCCGTATGACAACAACCCAACAGGTTGTCGCTCTCGCTAGTTGAAGGCCCTCTCCTATATAAAAAGGGGTGGGGTCAATATATTTTTGGGGGTGGAGTTTCCATCAATGAAACGCGCATGATAGGACCCATGTAGAGGTCTCTTGTCCCTAAGGAAGAGAGCGAAGAGACACGAAAGGGATTTAAGCGCAGGATTTGGCCCTGCTAGGCAGACTAGTCGCTGACCAACATGATCAGCGACTACAATACAAGGGCAACTTTAATACAAAAGTAGGGACAAAATAAAATGGGGAAAAGGAAATTGGTAACTATGGCACTAACTGCAGGAGTAACAGAGCAGAGGTTTTAGTGAAATTCGCAGGGTGGAATGGGCTTCGCATAATAAACTTTTTTCTGAAGCGTTAAATTGAAAAGTGGACATAAAAAGCCCTAACACAGAAACAAAATAAAAAAAGATTTTATTTTATGTGAAAACACAGACATAATGCAGGAAGACCATGACATGAACCAGGTGAAATGCAGTGATCATATGTTAGTAAGAACAAAAATAGTATTGTAAAATAACGCAAAAATACACGAACGCAAACAAAAACGACATAATCACTAGTTTCAATTGAGGTTTATTTCATTGCAATAGCAATTATGTAGACACTATCGGCTGGATTTTGCCACCGTCATCGGCATCAACGTTGGTGACCGCAGCAGTTCACCGCATATGTATACGTATCAATGTATTTGAAATTTAAGGGAAGAAACAAAATCCGGAGAAATACTCCGGCCCGTGGAACTGAACGTCTGATTCTATATCTTGTGAGTGCGTGGCGTTAGCCACTGAGTAAACTACAAAACCACAAAACATTGAAATCAGAAAAACAAGAGCAAGAGAAACAGAGAGCACAGGTGTGGCACTAACAACTGTTGTTCGTGCCACGTCTCTGCTATCTGTCTCTGCTTCTGCTGCTCTGATTTTTTTCCCGATTTCGGCATTTTGTGGCTTCTGTAGTTTACTAAGTACGTACCAGCAGCAGTCATGGCGACGCTGTGGAATGAGGATGTTGACGAAGCATATATAAACATCCGGGAAGAAATATGCAGGAAATCAACTACTACCATAGTGCTTTGTTAAGAAAGCAACAGAATACCAATCAAGAAGGGCGTAAGGCAGGCAGATACAAACTCCCCAATGCTATTTACCGCGTGCTTACAGGAGGTTTTCAGAGGCCTAGAATGAGAGCAGTTAGAAATAAGAGTTAATGGAGAGTACCTTAGTAACCTGCGCTTCGCCGACGATATTGATTGATATGTGGGGTTTAACGTCCCAAAACCACTATATGATTATGAGAGACGCCGTAGTGGAGGGCTCCGGAAATTTCGACCACCTGGGGTTCTTTAACGTGCACCCAAATCTGAGTACACGGGCCTACAACATTTCCGCCTCCATTCGCCAACGATATTGCATTGCTGAGTAACTCGGGGTACGAATCGCAACTCATGATTACGGAGTAAGACTAGGAGAGCAGAAAAGAAGGTCTTAAAATTAGTCTGTAGAAAACGAAAGTGATCTACAACAACCTCGGAAGAGAACAGCGCGTTGAGATAGGTAATAGTGCACTTGAAGTTGTAAAAGACTATGTCTAATGTCTACTTAAGACAGTTAATAACCGCGGAGCGGAACCACAAGATTGATGTAACTAGAAGAATAAGAATAGAGAGGAGCATATTTGGCATGCACTCTGAAATCATGACAGGTAGATTGCCGCTATCCCTCAAGAGGAAGGCATATAACAGCTGCATCTTGCTGGTACTTAACTACGGAGCAGAAACCTGGGGACTCATAATGAGGGTTCAGCTTAAATTGAGGATGACGTGGTGAGCAACGGAAAGAAAAATGGTAGGTGAAACCTTAAGAGACAAGAAGAGAGCAGAGTGGATCAAGGAAGAAACCGGGGTTAAGGATGTCATTGTTGAAACAAAGAAGAGGTAAGGTACATGGGCCGGGCATGTAGCACGTAGACGGGATAACCGCTGGTCATTGAAGGTAACTAACTGGATTCCCAGAAAAGGCAAGTGGGCTAGAGGGAGACATAAGGTTAGGTGGGCAGGGGAGATTAAAAAATTTGCGGCTATAAAATGGGAGCAGCAAGCACAGGACCGAGCTGACTGGCGGAACATGAGAGATGCCTTTGTCGTGCGGTGGACGTAGTCACTCTGATCATGATGATGAAGTACGTACCAACTTGCCCAACAAGAACTCTCCTGAACGTGTTAACCGCTAAGCCACAATGCAGCTTCTTCTTCAACGTTGAAACAGCAAGATATTTCTATCTACCACTTACCGCAAGTGAAGTGATCCCGGGGGAACCATCGTGTTTTCAAAATTACCAGCGAAATGACGCAATGAGCACTCATGGCCTGGTCGTCACGACGTGGCTACGTGTGCTGATGCGTTCATCTCCCACGCGTACTTTGCTGCCACAGAAAGGGGAGTAAAGTTAGACGCTGACGTGTGTGCTGACTTATCTCATGGTTGGGACAATCGTATGCCTTGGGCTTTCACCGGAAAGATTATATTGTAGATACCAGGCGTACTGAGGTCACTGCACTTGTTGCACAATCTTCGTTTGCGAAAAGGGCGCGCTTTGCAGACACGGCTAAGCAACAACTGAGTCACTTATTTGCTCATCTTATTGTTCACTTATTGTTCATCTGTACCTGTGGGTACAGATGAACGCAAATTTTGTGCGTCATTTATGCGTGAGCAATGCGGGGCAGGTTCTGGTCTGCTTGCCATTCTTCGCGTAACATTCTAATTTGTTGTTATCACATTCATTGCTTCGTCTTTGCGGCAAATCTGTGAATTTTTTTGGAAGGAGAAGATATATGCATACGAACAACTGGTCATGCGCAGTGACGCCGTTTAACAACATGAAAAACTTGGCACATCCCACTTACATTCAGAATCGATGATATGCGAAGCACAAATGAGGAAGGTTGATATGTCACTTTAAAATGTATGAGTGCAACGTGACAAGGTAAACGTAAATTATGCATTACCAGACTTCCGTTTCATGATTTTGTGCTTAAACGTGTTATTTACCTTTGTCATCTAATCTCGTCACGTCATACAAAATTTGGTGTATGTGGAGCTAGTGAAACCGCCGCGAGCTAGCTATGAGCGTAGTTTAATTGTAGTCATGTTTTGATGACACGCATGTCAAGGTTATCATGTTTGGACGTGTTGCTTACCTTCGTCGTCTCTTCACGTCACGGGATAACAATTTTGGTATATGTGAAGCTAACAAAATGGCTGTGAGCACGCTATGAGCGTAGCATGTATTGATGTTTTACATGACATGCATGTCATAAGTATCATGTTTGGACATGTCATTTACCTTCGTCGTCCATTCACGTCACGTAATACCAAATTTGGTATAAGCGATGCTAGCGAAATGGCCGCAAGCGCATCACGAGCGTTGTATGTTGTCATAATCTTACATGACACGCATCGCATGATTATCATGTTTGTACCTGTCATATACCTTCGTCATTCATTCACGTCATCTAATACGAAATTTGATATATGTGAAGCTAGCTAAATTGCCGCGAGCACACCATGAGCGTGGCGTGTAGTCATGACCACGGTGTTTGAAGTATAACACCCTGGTTATGACTTACATGACAGGCATGTCATGATTTCCTCGTTAAGGTATTTCACTTATGTTAACCATGCAGTCTTGCCAATGATGCCATACTATACCATTTTTGCAATATGTCATGCAAACAAAACCACTGCAAGGGCAGCTAGACATTAATTTTAAATTATTGCATACATGACATACATTTTGTGATTTTCATGTTATTACCGGTCAGTTATGTTCGTCATACAGTCATGTTATGTCATACCATTGTTGGTATTGATACCACTATTGAAACGGCCAGGAGAGCGAAAAGTCGTAGGCGGATAGATAGATAGATAGATAGATAGATAGATAGATAGATAGATAGGATAGATACCGTCAATCTCGCCGATGTTCGCTAAGAAATGTTTAGCATTTATTATAATCAGCATTTTCACTTCCCCGTTTTACTGCCCAGAGTCTAGCAAACAGTACATTATTCGACAATGATAAATATTCGTGGTTTATGCATTTATCACCTAAAGTTGCAATGATTAGCTTCATATCTAGCTTTTTGAACACTATCTTGAAAAAGTATAGTTGTGTCATCAAAACATGGGGTGCATTTGCCCTCTGTGCAGTGAAGGGGCAGGTGGCTACTTGGCCTGGCTTTTAATGAAGAATGGTTTTTATGGTGTCGAACATTAGCGCACTCTACCCACTGTCTGTGATACGTGCAACCATACGACATTGGCAATTCAAACACAACATCTCTATTGTTGACTTCTTCAAACTGAAGGGTATGGCGTATGTCACATTTTTTTAGTAAAGTTACCCTTTTCTTTGTTTACTCGCGTTCAACCACGGGGCACACACGAAAAAGCTTTGTTTTCGTGGAGCATGTTATATTCCCATTGCAATTTCTACTAATATTTTAAGACTATGTGGGAGGCTATATACATAATGGATAACAGTCATTTTCTTCTTCTTTTGTTCAACAGCTTGTGTGTTATTCCACTGTGTGTTATTTCGTCATCGCCAGCTTCGCCGTTGTATGGTGGAATAGCAGTCTATCCAGTTATGGACGCAGGAAAATTCACTTGGAAGAAATTAGGTATGCTTTATCTATGCTCCAAATGGCAATGGTTCTATCAAGACGGAAAAATACCAACAATATACGAATACATAATGAATGAAACATCCCAAAAATAAAAAAAAACTCTTGGCTCATCAGCCTCTTTTAGACAAAATACAAAATATTTACGTAAGTTACCTCAAACAGAATAACGGAAACACTTGACTTCAACCAGCCAAAAAGAACAAGCTGGGTTTGTTTGTTTTGCTTTGTTTGTTACCTTTGCTGTCGCCTTATTTGTTTGGTCATCTTCTTATGAGAAATCAGGTAATGTAAAATGCTGCCTAATACAAATAACCCCTTTTCTCAACCTTCATAGACTAAGAAAACACATTCCACTCAGGAGAGATGTCTGCAGTTTTAAAAGCAATAAATTAGAAAGCATTACCTAAGTCTTATGTCAATACCTTCGACGACATCTAGAAAGACTCCACATCTACCTTACTTCTTCACAAGAAAAGCGATGAAATTACGATCAAGAAAGGAGCAAGACAGGAAGATAAGTTCCCAATGTTGTTCACCGCATGCTTGGACAGCGCCTGGCTTAGAGGAAGGAAATGTTTAAAGAGCTAGACTGGGAGGAAACAAGAATCAAGGTTGACAGAATATTTTAACAACCTAAGATTTTCACACGACATTGTGCTCTTCAGCAACAACAGCATTGAAGAAGAAAGAAATTGATAAAGCATAAAGCAGACCTCAAAATTTATATAGAAAAAAACTGATATAATGTTTAATGGTCTGGCAAAACAGAAAAAAATTTAGATTGAAAACCTTGTATTGGAATGTATACAAAGAATATATAGACCTTGGACAACCATTCTCGGGAGCTCCTAATCTAAAAAAGGAAATTCGTCGAAGAATACGAATGGCTCGGAGCGCATTCGGCAGACACTTCCAAATGATGTTAGGAAATCTGCCACTATCAATACGCCAATAGTAAACAACCACGGCATACTACCAGTTTTCACGTATGGGGCTCCAATATGAAAAAATAAAAGAACAACTAGAGCAAAACCATCCAGCGTGCAATAGAACCTAACATGATAGCAATAGTACTGAAAGATCGGAAAGCGAAAGAAATGTTAAGAGATCAGGCAGTAGTTGCAAATATCCTAGCCAACATCAAGCGAAAGTAAAAGGACTTGGTCTGGCCACGTAATGCGTAGAACAGACAGGCAGTGGACTGTAAAAGCAAGAGAATGGTTGCCAAGAGATAAAAAATGCCGTCGGGGAAGCTAGATAAAGTGACGAAATCAGGAATACCGCAGAGATAAAATAAAATCAGCTCGCATATGAAAGGGTGAACTGGAGATCATTCAGACAGGCCTTCTGCCTGCAGTGAACTTACACAGGCTGCGAATGATGATGATGCTGCTGCTGATGATAAGAGTGCAAAGAGAAGGAATTGAACGAAACTAAATTCAATGAAAAACATACGGTTTGCCATTGTAGAGCTCGTTCGAATATCTGTTAAATTAGTGTAAGTGAGTAATTACCTGCGATCAAATACAGACAAGCTTTCATTTTTACTTTAGGGCCATACGTGTTTGATTACGTTGTGAAAATCATTCCAAAATGTCTCATTCAATTTTTCTTGCAACATACTTCATGTCACGCGGTGACTTTTTCTGATTTTAACTGAAGACTGCGAAATACGGAATAAAAACACGCTTCGCCGCCGTGGTTGTCTAGTGGCTAAGTGCTCAGATGCTGACCCGCAAGTCGCGGGACCAAATCCTGGCTGCAGCGGCTACATTTTCAATGCAGGCGAAAATGTTGTAGGCCCATTTGCTCAGACTTAGGTGCACGCTAAAGAACCCCAGGTGGTCGAAATCTCCAGAGCCCTCCACTACGGCATCTCTCATAATCATATGGCAGTTTTGGGACGTTAAACCCAACATATCAAGCAATCGGAATGAAAACACGCAACAGCACTCATGTGCCGCCATATTGAAGTGTTTTAAATGATGCCTCCAGCTAAACTACACGTGCGAAAGCTGTGGCAGCCGCTGCTCTAGGCATCGGCTTCACAGCTTGTCAGAATGTTTGACTGCGATGCATGACAAAAAATACCGCCATCGCTGATAAACTCACTTTTCATGGGTTTGAAAAGCGTGAGATTACGTTTCATGGGCCCGTGAAGTGATATGCAGTAAACGCTCGTTAATTTCGATTTAACGGGACCAGAAAACATTTCCGAAAAAATGGAAGACCAAATTATCAAAATTATAGAGAAAAGGATCAAGTAATGGCCGTTGTATTAATCCTTCTTGATAAATACGTAAATGCAATATTTTATGTGCATAGGGGCATTAGAAAGGCTGCAATTTTCGTGATTCTCAACATCGTTCCCATCAGTATCTTGTGTTTAAAGAGCTCCTCACTACCCTAAAAAATCCACTCATCTTCATGAAGTGAACCAAGACGAGTGGGCGAAGTTCTGGGTATTTTATAGGTGCGCAACGATATGTTGTCCAAGCGTTGCCCAATAAAATGTAAAGTTAGTGACATGAAGGAACACGAGGGGACAAAAACAGTAAGTGGCTAAGCTAGGTCTTCACGTCCATAATGTGCATGTTGATGCCACCGACTACTACAAAAGGTTTGTACTTGTAGGTGGGACGCCAACTGTCCCAACCTTGGCGCTCAACTATCTGAAATTCACTTGAAAGAATTCAGAACTATCTACGCTATAGTCAAAAATATTCCCCTAAAACAATTTTTCGTGAAAGGAATTTCAGTGCCCCAAGTCATGTGATTTTTTTAGAAAGCTCGAAATTATAGCTCGTAAAACACGTTGTCAAAAACTACGTTCTTGCTAAATTAGGTCAACACAAATTTTCACTTTTAGAGTAATGGTAGGTGTTTTACGCAAAAAATAAGTTTTATAAGCTTTTACGTTTCTTGTGAATTTGTGCGCGGCCTAGGATATGGAGAATATGGTCTATATTGGGGATTTTTTGATAAAAAGACAACATTCGGCGAAATGCGATGGCTGACATTCGCATATTGCCAGAACGAAGTTACCACTCTTGGGCAACTTATGCAAGCCTCGTTGAGTTACAGAATAAACACTCTTGAGCTCCGCTATTTACTTCAGCAAGGAGTTTCAGCAGGGCCCTAGAGACACCACTGTCGGTTTCTCAGCGAAATCAATGACTTTTCTGATATCGGAACATTAAAGACGACTTGTGCTTGTGCTGGCCTGGGCAGCCACATTCACGTTAATCTAGACTTGCACATTCACGAAAAGAACAGCTGCTAGACATTGTGACGGAGTTTCCGGGCTGTTTTTTCACTGTATCGAAAGTTCAACGCACTGCCGTTACTAAACACCGCATTGTTACCAAGGGGCCGGCGCGGCCTCTTTGCCAACACTCATGCCGTGTGTTCACAAAGGAAAGAAAGGCGATTAAGCTTCAAGTTGAAGAAATGCTGAATGATGACGTCATTCAGCCCTCGACAAGTCTGTGGGCGTCGCCTGTTTTCCTAGCAAATAAAAAAGGCAACACATCAAGCTTCTTCGTTGATTATCGATGGCTTAACAAAGTCACAAAATGCGACGTTTCTTCCCTGCCACAGATTGATGACGCCTTCGACCATCTACGCCATGCCCAGTTCCTTACATTGTTAGATCTCAAGTCAGGGTACTGGCCAATAGAAGTTGACGAGGGTGAGCGTGAGGAAACCACCTACGTTACTCCCGACGAGCTCCGCGAATTCAAAAAGTGCTTACTTTCAGTCTCTGTTCCACTCCCGCCACATTTCAATGCATGACGGACACTGTACTCGCGGGACTAAAGGGGCACACGTGTCTTTTATTTCAGACACGTGTGCCCATTTATGTTCGTGAGCCCACCTCACGAACATTTTTCATGGCTAAAAATCATCCTCACTGCGTTACGGAGAGGAAATCTTACTATCAAGCCCAAAAAGGGCTACTTTAGCTATCAGGAACTCAAGTTTCTCGGCCATGTGGGGAGCCCAGTGGGTGTTCGACTTGATGCGGGGAAGTTGGCTGCCGTCTCCGAGTTCCCCTGTCCTGGAGACAAGGCTGTTCAGCGATTCCTTGGACTGTATGCCTAGTACCATCGTTTTGTCGAAGAATTTTTGAAAACTGCAGAACCGCTTACAAGACTAACACGGCAAATTGTGCCCTCGGTATTGACGCAAGAGCAACAGCAAGCCTTTTTAGAGTTACACAATCGACTGCAGACAGCTCCAGTGCTGACACATTTTGACGACACTGCCGACACTCAGATTCACACGTAGGAATTGGAGCCATTCTAGTTTAGTTGCAGGATGCTGCAGAGCGTGTGATCACTTACACGAGCCGCAGTCCCACATAAGCAGAGGCTAACTACTCTACCACCGAAAAAGTGTGCATGGCAGTCGTTTGGGCCATTACCGAATTTTGACTCTATCTATACGGCTGGCCGTTTCGAGTGGTGAGTAACCACTGTTCGCTCTGTTGGCTTGTCAATCTACGAAATCCAACAGGCCACATCACCTTCTGGAGCTTCCGCTTTCAAGAGTACGACATAATGGTGGTCTACCGATCAGGACACCCGACGTCATCCGACACTGAAAAGATTTACCATTTCTTGGCGTCGTCGATATGGTACGGATGGCTGAACTTCAACGTGAGGACACTGCGCCACTTTTTGTCATCCAGTATCTTCAAGGAGCAGACGTTATCGTCTTGCGCCCGCTTTCACGTGGATTAACATCTTGGCGTCTGCGGAAGGATGTTCTCTACAAGAAAAATCTGAAAAACAGTCAGGAAACGTTTCTCCTCGCCGTTCCAACGGCCCTGCGTGAGAAAGTTTTGCAGGCATGCCATGACGATACGTTGCTGGTCACTTAGACTTTGTTTTAACATTAGCGTGCATACGCAAAAATACTACTGGCTACAGCTGTATTCGTCCGTTCAGCGCCAAGTCCGAACCTGCTATGTCTGTCAGAGGCGTAAAGCTCAAACCGTGAAGCCCACTGGTTTCCTCCACCATTTAGATTCACCTTCAGCACCGTTTCAGCAAGTGCGAATGGATCTTCTCCGTCCATTCTCTATGCCATCCTCAGGAAATAAGTGGATAATCGTCGCAACCGACTATCTGACTTGCTATGTGGAAGCCAAAGGTGGGCCTAGAAAAACTGCAGTTGAAGTCACCAGATTCTTCATCCATGACATTGTTGTGCGTGATGGTGCACCTTCTTTTCGAACAACCGATCACGGAGCAGCATTTACTGGAGTTATCGCAACAGGTCGCCGAGCTGACGCATACTAACCACCGGGAAACAACATATTATCACCCCCAAACTAAAACGACTTAAGACGAAACACTGGCCGACGTGCCATCTATGTATGTTGATGTAGAACACGAAACGTCGGATGAAATTTTTGCCGTACGTTACGTTTGCTTACAATGCCTTTGAGGACATGGTTTAGCTTATAATAAATTAATAAATATTAATATTAGTGTTAACCAATAGCCAGCTGTATCGCTGTAGATTAAACATGATCGCGATTTCAGAATCACTAAAGTGAAAAAGTGTGGCCTAATTATCTGCAACTTAAAAACGCTAAACGTGAAACGTCAACTGAGAAGTTACAATGGTCAGTACTATTTTAATCAGGGCTGACTCATTCCACTTTTGATAAGGTGAGACACCCATTTACTTAAATGAGAAGACGGTGGTCCTTTCGGGCAGTTGAAGCATTGAAGGGCGAGTTACTATTAGTATGATGCGTTTCGTAATGCGCACCAACGAATTCACATCCATGCATGCTGTTCTTGAGGTTGTTTAAACGGGTTTATTCTTGTGCAGCTGTTTTTTAGAGAACTTTAAAATTGTCGAAAGTGTTGTTGCTCTAGTTTAGAGCTGCATAGTTCAGATAATTATAAAGACGAATAGTGAAAAGCGAAGTCCTGCGTCGAGAATAGCGATTAAAGTGTGCGCATTTGTTTCATGCGTAATGTGCACCGAGCTGCGCCCTAAATTTTTTATGTATGAGTGATTACGTGGATGGCTGAGCGACAGATTACTATTAGACATTCTCAAAGAAACACCCACACTGGCGGCACTCTATATTATCCACCAGGAAATGAAATATATGAGGGCGACAAAAGCCAAGTAAACTTAGCATGTGTTTTTTGTCAATGTTTCTCATAAATGTGTTGATTTGAATTTGTTTACACTAATTTAAACGTAGTTGCTATATCTTTCAACAATTTAGCGATAACAAGAGGTTGCGCAGAGAGCTTTTATTTTTCATAGTGATGTCCTCCTGTACTGCATGGATTTTGTGATAAAAACAACAAAACGTGCAGGGGTCGCCATGTACGGCATGCTTCTGGAGAGTGTGCAGCACTACGTGCGGCTGCAGTTTGGCGAACCCTTGTGGGAAGCTGCGCTGGCGGAGCTAGGCCAGCACAACTTTTCCACACACTTGGTTTACCCGGACGACTCCATGACGAGGCTGGCCGACGCCTGCGCAAAACGAGTTCCCGGTAAGATGGTGAATCGCATCGTAATCCCAGATTGTGGGGAATAAAGATAGATTGATTTGTACGCGGGCTTGAACACGGGGTGTTGAAGTATGTTCGAACTATACCATAGTTGATGTCTACTAGACACAGCTGATAATATGAATCCATAAAGAAATTTTATGCCATGCTTCATTTTTGCTTCTTTCAACATTATTTGTACTGTATCGTATGACAAACATTCTTTATGTAGACTAATTGAAGCATTAAGAATAATTCACTTGGCATGTAAGAAGATAGTGGAGCAAATGACAATGGTGTTTTACTTCTTAGTGGAGACGTAATTGGTAAACTGCAAAAGCATGAGGTGTGAACGCACTCAAACATAACACACACACGCACTCACGCACATGCACACAAACACGCACGCGCACACAGGGAGCCACTGGCGAATATTTTGTTTTAATGTAGGCAGTATTGTTGGTTGGCTGGCGTACATGTGTCTGAGGAAGTGTTCAATTTGTCAAGCTAATTGATGATAAATGTGTAGGAGTTAACATCCCAAAACCGCCATATGATTATGAGACGCCGTAGAGGAAGGTGGTGGTGGTGAAACTTTATTACCCAAAAAAGGGGTTCTGAGGGACACTCGGCTAGACGCCAGGTGTAGAGGGCATCTCCCACGTCGAGACAGAGAGCCTAAAGCTCTCCGTCGCCTCGCGGGCCTCCTGGACAGCCCGAAGTTGGTTTGCTAGTAAAGCACTTCTTAGCACTTTGGCCCACTGTTGCTTGATCTTGGCGCAAGTGTCACTCGACGCACAACCACAGAGCATATGGTTCAAATTTACACATTCACAACACTCTTCACACACATGTTGTCCGTCGTATTCTGGGTCGATATGCTTCACGCGCCAGGGGTTGGGGTATGAGGTAGTGAGTTAGTCTGGAGCAAGCGTAACGTGACCGACTGGCTGCGCGTTAATTTCTTATCCGGGAGGGGGAGCTATGCCAGCCTAGATAAAAAGTGCTTTGTGTTATCCTTGAAAGTTAATAACTGATCTCTGTACTCCATGCGCAGTGTAGAGGGAGGGAAACCGTAGTGACGCGGTAGATGTGTCCTCGCGCCACCTCGTGTGTGGTCTCGTTGAGATTCCGCAGGTTGCGCCCTAAGCTGCCCATGTGGGCCGGGAACCATATGATGGTGTATTCGGTCATGTTATGTCCGCCTGCTATTCGCAGTGTCATCTTGTCTATCCCGCCTTTTTCGAAAGCTTGAGTGGCGGCTCTGGAGTCGCTGTATATTGTTGTGAAGTGCGAGTCCGTTAGAGCTAGAGCTATCACTGCTTGTTTGGCTACATCCGGCCTCTTGGTGTAAAGAGTGAGTGAGCTGCGTGTTCGTCCATGTCCGCGAATTACTACGACCGAGTAGGCGTGCGTTCTCGGTATGTCCATTGCATCCACGAAAGCTGTCTGGTCGGGAAATCTTGCAGTGTCTGCCGCGAGAGCTCGGGCACGGGCAAGATTTCTTCCATGATTGTGGACCAGGTGTATGTTTATGGGGAAGGGGAGCACTGTAATTGATTTTAGCATGACTTTGCGTAATTTATAAACTTTGTCCCTTTACGCTATGGTGTGAAAACCGAGCTTGAAAAGAATGTATCTGCTCGCTTTGGTGCTAGATAGGCGTGGGATCTGTACCATGTGTTGGGCCTCGATGATTTTAGCGAGGGGATTATGCACTAGTATCTGTAACAGGAGAGAAGTGGAGGCATTATTCGAGAGCCCCAACACTGTCTACAAGCGCGTCGTATGTGCACTTCGAGCTTTTGCCGTTCTATTTTTTTTTCAGTTCAGCACCGCAGCCACGTATGTGATGTTATCGAAAACAAAAGCGTTGACCATTCTGACAGCGTTATTCTAGCCCAGTCCCCTGTGCCGATTCAAGATGGGCCGAAACATTCAAAGCGCGTTCCTAATCTTGAATGTGATGTTATCCAGCATCCCCAAGCTGGAACCATTACTTTGGATGGCGAGTCCAAAGATGTGAATTTTTTCGACCATAGGTATTCGGGTGCCCTCCAAATCACGTAACTATACGCTTGGAGGGACGGGTTGGCGCCAGCAGCACCTTGGTATCTCGTGTAGGGCTATTCAGTAGACTTTTCTTTATTCTCAGCATAATGTCTTGCGTTCAGAAACCCAGCCTATATGCGAATATAGTATAGAAGTATTCTTTTTGTTCGACTTACTCTGTCAGTGGGCTCAAAATTACATGTTCACCTAGCTTTCCTATGCAGGACACCGGTGAGATCGTCCCCAGGCTTGAAAGCCCCAGTGCCTTTCGAGGTTTTGGTATAAGGGCCGTATTACCATGCTTCCATTCTGCAGGTAAACGGCCGCTTTTCCAGGTTTCGTTGATTGGTTCAGTTAAGCAGGTGACTGAATTGTCGTCTAAACTTCGGAGAGCCCGATTCGTGACGCCATTGGGGCTGGCTGCAGAGTTGCTGTTTAGTTCGTGAATTGTGTAGCAAACTTCACTCTCGGTGTAGTCCTCGTGGAGCTCCGAGCTTGGGGCACCATCATAGATGGTTCAAGGTGAGATACTGGGTTGTCCGAATTCAAGCGGTAGGTAGTGTTTAGCAAGGCCGTCAACAAGTTCTTCGGCAGTACTATGCTGCGTTGCGTAGTGTTTTGTCATATTCTCGCTCATGGCATCCATGGCGTCCGACCTCTGATCACAGGACCATTCACGGTTGCGTTAAAGCTCGCTTCTTTGTAGCGGGGAATTCTCCGCGGCGTTCTCTCTGTCTTTCAATCTCAAGTGCTTGGGGAGTTTTGATATCAGTTGGTGGTTCAGGAGTGCTCGTTGGCGTACTGCTGTTTGCTTTACGTGCTTCGGGTAACTCATGAATTAGCTTGGTATAGGCAACTTTAAGTGCTTTCAACTTCTTTTCTAACATAGCCATCCGTTCTTTAGTGTTACAGAACTCATAGTTTTCTTTCGGCATAGTCGCCTTGGCGTCTCTCACTTTATCCGCCCACGTGCCGCTTCCTCCGTTGTTCTTTCCGGCGAAACGCACCTGTGATCTTGAGTGACTCCTGCTTGTGGCCGATGTCCTCGCAGGTGTGCGGCTTCGCGATCGAGAGCGGGAGTGGCTGCGTGTTGACGTCTCCGACGTAGATCAACCTCGCTTCGTCTGTTGATTGTCTTCTTCCAGGTCTGTCTGACCTTGTTGCTCCAACCGCTCTCGTTGTCGTCGTGCGCACACTACATGCGGGATGAGATTACGTTTCGTGCATACCTTGTCCGCCATCATGTGCCAGGCACCGCACAGCTTGCATTGCGGATCGGACACATGATATGATGTTGGGTTGTAAATTCCGCAGCCTCTGCATCTGGTGGAGCTCGGGTCAAGGCAAATGCCCACACGATGGCCAAGTTCCCCGCATACGTAGCATATGTCCACGTGTCTGCGATATAATAACAGGGTACCAAAGTAGGTCCATATCTGGCGAAGTTCGGGACGCAAAATTCATCAAACACAACGATCTCGTATCCCCAGTTATTGATTGTTTTCGTCACCAGTGCCAAGGAGTTGCGGGCGTTCACGATGTTTTTTCAATCATCTCATGGTCATCAGCAGTCTCGACGCGTCGAATCGCCCCTTTGCAGGTGTCGCTTAGGACAGCTTCGTAAGCGCTTACTTCGTACTTTTTTGTGGATTTCTGAATAGCCCCTACGCTCACGTACATATCTGCATTTTCTTTAAATGGTGTGCTCACCACCATCATATTCTGCATAATGTTGGGACAAGTATAGTCCTCCATGGTCTGAACTGAACGAAGATTTGTTGCTGCTACAAGGGCTTTGATCCCCGAGATAGGTCCGACCTTTCATATGTTCGAGCCACCCTTCGGGCGAAACACTACCTTGATGTTGTCTTCCGGTAATGATGGCATGCGTGAGACTCTGTTTACACGATTTATGATGTTAAGAGGCATCCTAGAGAAGCTCCCCTGTCCGCTGCTTGGATGGTTTTCTTGCTGCATAAGTGGCGCAGTTGTTTCGGCGCGTTCCTTCTTCGTTTTCTGGCTGCTCACCACTTTCCAACCCGTGCTGTCCGCGGCGTAACCCGTATCTTCATATGCTGCGATCTTTTGTTTATCAGATGTGGATGAAGCACCCAGCGTTGCTTGTAGGTCCTCCGACAAGCTGTTCATTTCGTCGGTAGTAGACGCCATTCGCGTTTCGCGCCTGGCGCAAAGGGCGGGTATACGCCTCGCCAAGCTAAGGCCCACGATTGGCGATGCCTAGCTTGCCGCCAATGTGGCGCTAACTCAAAAGCCCAAATAAATTATGTAAATGAGGACCCACCGGGGTGAATTTGACGTCGGGGTGATACTGGCAACTACCGACACTAGCTCGCACTCTTGTTTAGATCGATCAAAGAGGCATAATCAACCAAAGCGTTTGAAAAGTGGTGGACAGCGAGGTTTGTCGTGTCGACGACCATCCGCGTCTCCATAGTGAAAGGCTCCGGAAATTTCGAACACCTTGTGTTCTTTAATGTGCAACAATTTGGAAAGCTAATGACCGTCAGAATTCAACTCATGTTTGAAGTGTGAAACTGCCCCAACGTACGCTAGCCGTTGTTTATAATTCTGAGTTAATTAATAAAAAATACTTGAAGCACATAACTGAATATAAGTAAGAATACGATATGGCTCATGAAGCCAGTCCATATAACACAATAAGGCAGAGTGCCACAATGTGAACCCTAGCGTGTCGCAGTGAAAGCCATTAATTGGGCGCGGCATTACGAGTCTGTGCATCATCACATTGCAGGATGGAGCCGCGACACATTCCTCTTCTTCTTCGGGCGATGCTTCGTGCGCTTCTTCAGCCACTACGGCTACGACAAGTTGATACGTGCATCTGGCCGTCACCTGCGAGACTTTCTTGCTGGCATAGACAACCTACACCACCAGATCCGCTTCAGTTATCCGCGCATGCGCAGTCCATCCCTGCAGCTGCTTCAGGAACACCGCGGTGGCGCGCTGCTGCTGTACCGCTCGTGCCGCCGCGGCCTTCACTTCTACCTGGTCGGTCAGCTGGTACAGGTGGCCAAATCTTTCTACGGCATGCGCCTCCAGGTAAGCAAGGTTTATGCTATGGCAGTGGCAGTGGGTAAGCGTCATCTTTTGTTGATATCTGAATCGGAAGAAAAGTTTATAGGTAGGGTAGCTCAATAAAACCACAAAAAGAGTTGTGCTGCGGTGCTATAGAAACTATTTAGTAGTTATAAAGAACAATTCTGAGTGCAACCCTTATTTAGGGCCTCGTAGCAGCACTAGCATGTTGGTACCCGTTTGTCCTTGCGTATTTCTTCGGTTAAGCTTGTGCTTCTGGGAGCCAAAGCCAAATCAGAGGCGAGGCAAAAAAAAAAAAAACGGGTGAATGTCTGCCCCGCCAGGTACCACGAAGATACCAGCTGCTCACACACTTTCAAAGAACACAGTCATTCATTTGCGTTTGTTTTCATAACGGTTTATTATCCGTTTTATTTAGGAAGCTTATTCTTCGATATCTCATGCATTTATTATAAACTTTGAAGCACAACCATTTTATACGACTATTTGTGAATATAAGAAATCCGGAAATGCTTGGAAGAGAAACATCAGTATCATTCGGTGCTCATGCCACTAGACAGAAGTGGAGCGTCACGCTGATGCTGCAGCGGCAGGTACATGTATATCGGCAAGGGAATTGGGAACTGCAATTCATAGCGACTTCTTCTGAAGTGTCACTCGTGTTGTGCCATCGCTGACATAGGAGTGCAGCTAGAGCCATGTTAATATTGAAAAATGTAATTTTCATTCGCCTCCCCCAAAAGAAGCTGCTGAGCTAATCCTAAGTATATTTCGTTTCATTGATTCATTCACTCGTTAACAATTCAATGATTCTTGCAGCTGCTTGCTGGTGACCGCTGGAGCAGGCCCATAGCACGGGGGGTTCCCTAGAGCCCCTCCCACCATTCTTAGACGAAGGGGGTATTTTATAAAGTATATGGAAACAAAATACGCGTTTTTCAAGGTATTCAACTGGTATCCCCCTCTCCGAACAATAACCTCAATTCAAGTCTAACAACGTTGATGCTTCATCCCACCACCTTCATCACACCTAAAAAAAAAGAACAGACAAATGGGAAGTTAAGAGGTTTAAGTTATCGGTTACATCTATTATCACAGCTTAAGGGTGCAGAACAAATCACTTGCCCGATGTCAAGGAATTAGAAATCAGTTTGTTGTGTTATGAAAGGACTAAGTAGTAGCATGTACTTGTTTTAATATGCAGACAAAATATCGTGAAGTCCTGTAACGCGATTAAGTTGCGGTCATAGCACGAAATCAAGAAAGAAACATCAAGCAGATAGCGTATGTTTTCTTTTTTTTAATTTCGGCTTGGTAAGTTACTACCAATTATTACGACTTGGTAAGTTACTGCTCGTCATTATTGTGTTTGATCATCACCTTGGAAAAGCTTGCTAGAAAGTGCTACTATGCGCTATTTGGTTCGTACTTGCAAGTTTTAGCAGCGCGAGCTATTGAAGGGATAAAGTAAAGACACGCGAAAGGCGCCAACCTGGTGTGTTTGTCATGTGCCATCTGGCGATTTTCTACATTCTTGTCCCGTCCATGTTTAGTGCAAGTAGGGATGAATTGATTAAACTAAGCACAGTTTCTTTTGAAGTCTGTGCATCTTCTGCAGTAAACTTTGGTATTTGTTTAATTTCGCTTCTGTTCACCTTCTTGCGGTCATTTTGAGGTTGTGGTGGCCGACTCCATGCCATGTGAAACATGAGGAATTCGCAGGTGTTTTCTGCGTATACATGAAAATTATCGACCATTTCGGAACGTCGAGATTTCAACTTTTCAACTGAACAATACAAATAAATCAATCGCATTAGCAGAATCTTGCCCAACTCACCACTCATTTTCGATTTTGTCTTCATAGATTGTGGTTCAATGTGTTTAAATCGGTAGCTCTAAACATTTACCCAGCTTTTCTTCCAGGACACTGACAACAGCGCAATACTGCTAACCATCCTTCGATCAGGTTATCCCTTTTCCATATGTTGCATACCCTTCAAACATGCTCTGTCACTTCCCTTTCGTAAACAGTCTTTTGTGAGCTTACAGCAGTTAGTATAGCCACAAACTCTCATTAACTAAGAAATATCCCGTGACAGTAGTGTGACAATGTTAACGCGCACACGATTCGTCAGCCTAAAAGCTACCTTTTCCCTTTGTAGAGAAACTACAGTGAAGTGGTATCTACCCAATTTCTGGGCACTTACACGTTTCTGAGGACGATAGTTTTCTGATAGGCCGCACATATTTCCGTGGCACATACCGTATGTTGGACTAACTGCAGCCTTCACCTGTAGTGTAACAGTGGTGAGTATAGGGATTTACCGAATTTGTGCGGAACTTAGGCGTCTCTTACGACAATATATTTGTGATAGGCCACACATATTTCTGTGGCACATAGCCGCTTGTTGGGCTGATTGTAGTCTTCATCTTTCGTGGACCAGTGGGGAGTAGAACTTTTTAGCTAATTTTTGTGCAACTTACGCACTTTGGACGAGAACAGCTTTTTGATAGTCCGCACATATTTCCATGGCACGTAATCGTTTGGTCACCTAACTGCGGCCGTAATCTTTAGCGCGCCAGTGGGGAGTAGAGGAATTCACCCAAATTGTGTGGCACTTTCGCGTTTCTAACGATGATAGTTTTCTGATGGGCCGCACATATTTCAGTAGCACATACCGTTCCTTGGGCTAACTGTAGCCTTCACTTTTAGTGGACCAAGTGAGTAGAGAGATTTCCCCAACTTGTGTAGCACTTACGCATTTATGACGATGATGGTTTTCTGATAGGCCGTACATGTTTTCGTGGCACATGCCTGTTTGTTAGGCTAACTGTAGCCTTCACCTTTAGGGGACCAGGTGAGTAGAGAGGTTTACCCAATTCGTGTGGCACATACGCGATTCTTGGGACAATAGTTTTTTTTTGATAGGGCGCACATATTTCCGTCGCACATATGGTTTGTTGGGCTAACTGCAGCCTTCACTTTTAATAGGCCAGTGGTGAGTAAAGGGATTTACCCAAATTGTTGAGAACTTACGCATCTCTAAGAACAATAGTTTTGTGATAGGTTGCACGTAGTTTCGTTGTAGATACCCGTTTGTTGGGCTAACTGTAGCCTTAGCATTGAGTGGACCAGTGGGGAGTTAAAGGATTTACCCAATTCCTTTGGCACTTACGCGTTTCTGAAGGTGATAGTTTTCTCACATGCCGCACATATTTCCGTGGCACATACCTGTTTTTTTTTTGGCTAACTGCAGCCTTCACATTTAGTGGACCAGTGGTGAGTAGAGAGATTTACCAAATTCATGTGGAACTTACGCGTCTCTAACGAAAATAGTTTTGCAATAGGTCGCACATGGTTCCGTGGCACATACCCGTTTGTTGGGATAACTGTAGCTTTCATATTGAGGGATTTACCCAATTCCGTTGGTACTTATGCGTTTCTGACCGCGATAGTTTTTGATAGGCCGTACATATTTCTGTGGCCCATACCCGTTTGTTAGGGTAATTGTAGCCTTAATCTGTAGTGGACCAGTGGGGAGTTGAGGGACTTACCCAATTGCGTTGGCACTTCCGCGTTTCTGACCGCGATAGTTTTTGATAGGCCGTACATATTTCTGTGGCCCATACCCGTTTGTTAGGCTAATTGTAGCCTTAATGTGTAGTGGACCAGTGGGAGTACAGTGATTTATGAAATTTCTGTGCAACTTACGCGCTTCTGCCGACGATAGTTTTATGATAGGCCGCACATATTTCCGTGACACATACACGTTTGTTGGGCTGATTGTAACTTTCATCTTTAATGAACCAGTGGAGAGTCGAGGAATTTACTCAAGTTGTGTTGGAGTTCCTTGTTTCTGATGATGATAGTTTTCTGATAGACCACACATGTTTCGATGGCACATTCGCGTTTGTTTGGCTAACTGTTGCCTTCACCTTTAGTGCACGGAACAGTGGGGAGTAGAGAACTTTACCCAATTTGTGTAGCACTAGTATTTAACTACTAGTGTAGCACTAGTAGTGTACCACTAGTAGTAGTTAATAGTAGTTAACGTTAAACTTATGCCAGTTGCAAAAAGCGACCAGACTTTCTCGGAGGGCACAACACGGTCACAGCGTAAGCTGGAAGAGCAGCCGTTCTAGAGCCTTTTTAAACATTCTTTGGGTAACCCCTAAAAAATACTAGTAGGATACTCGCTAAGCCGTAAATCATCATACTTTTTGCTGTAGTGGGTAACCATGCACCCTGTTATTTTTTGTCATATTTTTGAAGAAGCATCGTGTCCACTACACACGTGCAATGAATTATGTCGAATTTTATGATGATATGGCTGACTACGATGAAGAACTATGGCTGCAGGCTTTTGCAAAGGTTTGGATCATTCGACGACCCACTTGTTATCTAACCAATGAGTGAATCAATCAATAGTCGCTCGATAAATCAATCAATTGTTCAATCTATCAATTAGCTTTTTTTATCCATGAGAAATAGGAAGTATAGTGGAAAAAATGCCGCAGTACTGCGCCCTAACAAATCTCCGGCCCCCTACAAAGTCCAGCACCAAATTGAGCGAAATAGAAGAAACAGCTGCAGGTACTAGAAATAAAAAAAGCAATTGAATCCAATGCACTAAGACAGGTATTGACAGCATATAGGAACAACTAGGTTAATCATCGAAATGCTTGATTCTTTGAGATGCATTAATGAGACACAATAGATGTGACAATAGAGAGACGTAATGAGACACAATAGATGTGAGTCATAAGAATAAAGGGGGATAAAAGGAAGGAATAACCCAATCGCAATTGAAAGCATTGTAACCTATACAAGATAAAATGATTATTTTGGGGCAACAGCGAAATTCGAAGACAAATAAAAAAAGAAAAATAGTGGAAGAATTGAAAACGCAATGCGTGGAAAGTATAAGCATATTTAGCATTCCGCCACTGATCATAACAACCAGATTCCAGTGGAAAGCAAAATAGTATCATAACCCAATAAAAATGAGTGAATTGTGTGTGTTGAAGCCTTCTTAGCAGATATGCCATATTTAGAAAAGTTTTTAGCAGTGCGGATAGTTGGAATAGTACCGACTGTTTTCCATAGTTCGTTCGAAATGATGGTTGGAGTCAAAGGTGGTGACTTGTTTTGTCATATGCATAGTGATGTGTTGTTAAGTGAGACGAAGTGATGGTGTCAACGTTGTTAGTTCTTATGGCGAGGCGACATGCATAGGAAAGACAAAATTCGTAGGTGAATTAGGCAAATTTAACTTTAAGGATATTAAATGCTTCAATATAAGGAGCCATAGGAGTAGGGTACGGAACGTTGGCTATAGCACGAATTGCTTGCATTTGGCATACACTGAGTTTTATCAAGTTGTCATAGGATGACGAGGTGACAATTGTTTAACCCTAATAAAGATAATTCATTGTATAATCAAGCATTTAGCTTTTTCAGGTAATACTTGAAGGTGTTCGTTCATCAATACAGTGACGGAATTAAGCTTGGTACACACATGCTGCACATGCTTATTCTATGACAATGTTTCTGTACAATAGGCACTGAAAGCTTTACTCTTGTTTACAGTACTAAGTGTGTAATTGTCAAGGTACAAGTTTTTTCGTAGGTTCAATAACTGTATGTAAAGTGCGGAAAAATATGATGCAGAAGAGTGAGGAGCAAAAAGATATCGTGAAGCAGGAAGAGCAAAAGAGAAGAAAGAACAGCGCTGTTCTATCTTCTCTTCTGCTTTTTCTGCTTAACGATATGTCTTTTTGAAACAAGTACTTTGGAAAAACATGGCTTTTGTCTTCTTTGTGTTGAATTCAATTCGCATTATATAACGCCTCTTTGGTCTTTTGGTGTTCTAAAACGCTTCATTACTCACATTAACGAGATTCCTTTCTTGACAAGAAGACTACCTAGGGTCAGTTTGCGACGGAGATTCAAGCAGCGGCGTTGCTTAGTGGTGAAATGCTGCGTAGGCACGCACAGCGTCCGGATTAGAATCTCATTGTTTCATTGATGTTTTCATTTACTTACTTTTTTGTACTTTATGCAATAGTGGCAAAGTGCACTGGCGGCGGTGGTGGACAACAACGGCTCATGCGACCCTTGTGATCTCATAACAGCATCTCATAACAGAATTGAGACAGGCTCAATGAAAGTTAGCATTGCTTCGAATACATGAATCCCACATATTTCGCAATATCATGGCTCATGTTCGTCAGATATATAGCCACAGCAGCAAATTTTCATTCATTACCTGCTGGAAGAGGCATCTCTGTAGGCTGGACAACTTTTTCAACCAAAAAAAAGTTAGTATGCATGCAATGTCTATAGTTTCAGTTGAGTTGTACGCCCAAAGTCCCATTTCATCCAGAAAGTACGACGTGTGAAAAGAAATAGAGATGAAAGGTAGCAAAATTTATGGCCCAGATATTGTTGAATATTGAGATTTTATTACTTGTCATGCCTTGAAGGCGTGTCTGGCCGAGATGAAGCACACGTCAAACTGCAAACGTTTATGGTATCCCACAGAGTGGCTGAAGGTATACATCAAAAACATTTAAATTGTAATTAACACCGTAGATGTCAATGTCTCCGCTTGTAGGGACTATATAGATAAAACTTATCTGCGTCAAGATTAAATAATTATCAGATAAACCAAGACGGGTTGCCTATGTAGTTTTCTTTCCAATGGTTGTCAGTCAAAGCGTCTAACTTTTCACAAACGAAAAGCCTTCTGAATTCAGTCGCATTGAGTTCAGAGCCGACAATAAAAAGGTGCGTACCTTGATGCATAAAAATTCAATGCGTACTAGAAATAAATAAACCTGTAACTACTGTTTAACGCGAGTTTCGCAAGTTTTGTCGACATTATGGGAGGTTTCGCTGCTCTTGTTGCTCGTAGCGATGAAAACATGATTATCATAGCTGCAAACTCAGGACTCCAATTCACAAAGCCTTCTGTTTGTGACACTTACTATGTACCATTCGGTATTATTTACATTCTGCGTAAGAAATGGCTCTTTCCATCAATTATTTCTTAAAAAACGTCTTGTGAATATAGGTACTCTTTGAAAAAGTGTAGCAGATTATACACGCTGTGGCCCATTTAGTTCAGGTGACCAACATGAACTTATGATTTTTCGTAGAACTCTGAGTGAATCTGTGACTACAGCCGAAATTGATTGGCTGAGGGAGTGAGGCAACACAGGTAAAATATATTTTGCGCATACTACTGAAATCTTTGAGGGAATGTTAGCAGAACAGGTAAATAAGGAGTGAAAAAAAAAAAAACTTGTAAGCTGTCGCACCAAGAACGCAAATGGCTCGCATCGTTTCAGCTACTAAAGAAATAGTTAAACAATACGTTTTTTTCTGGAATCTACACAAAACCTTTGCTCTGTATAAATATCTTTCTACAGATTTCGTGGCTTCTAAAGATTGATTTTGAACGTTGCTCAGTGACCTATTCTTCTATGGTCACCTTTTTTTGACGATTCCATGCTCCGTTTACCTCTCATATTGAATGTATATAAGAAGAGGCTAGCTCCAATGCGAGACGCCGGCTACACCTCTCCTGTATAATATTGGTTCCCGTCGCAAAGGAACATCTACCAAACTACACGACATGTATACAGGACGCACGTAAACTGCAGCTAGCGTACTTATAGACTTATTGCACTAGAAGAAATCACGGCATTCTAGCCACAGTGTTTCTCATGACTGCAATGGGTGGAACAAAACTAGCAAATAACGCGTAAAGTATGACAGGAGCAGTCGACATGTTGAAAGTACATAGTAATGCGAATTTAGATTTGTGTCATACATGATAGACCCGGACTAAGGCGCATGTGCTTCTTACCTACACTGTGGTCTTACCGCTGTGTCGCTGGTAATGCCCGGGCGGTACGAGGGGCGTTGAACTTTATCTCCATCTGTTGTGCACACCACCAAGTGGATGGTAAAATCCGAATCACTTGTTTAGATCGCAAACTAAGATATATGTATCAGTGATATATTATCAATGGCTTTGCGATCAGACCTTTGCGTCGATGTTGCTTGGCCTCAAGTGACGTCACCTTGTCAGGAAGTCTTTTAATTTGACCCTAGCCATTGGCATCACGGAATTCTCATTCGTGATGCATTATCGATGCAGAAAATTTTAAAAGTGCATTTTTTTCCTGCCTCCTTACATTGTTTTCACAGTAGGGCAGTGTACTAGAGGATTGAGAACACAGCATGCTTATCGTTGTTCCCCGGAGAGGCGGTGCATGTTCAGATGGCGGAAAGTAACACGTATCCTGTAATGCTTATACTGTAAAAACTGCTTTGATATTTGCATTCCTTCTCGCAATAAATAACATGAGGCGCAATAGTGCTGATCTTCACCGTATTATAGGCAAGGACAAACAACCAGTAACGAACTATACTTACGGACGAGTTGTTTTAAAAATTTGTTGACGTCTCGAGCCCCCAGGAAATGTTTGCGAAAACCACGCATTGTAATGAGACTAATCACTCTGCATGGGAGTCGTGCTGCAGAGCACGTTACGTGAACGCGCAGGTGCGCGTGTTGAGCCAGCGCAGTACACCAGAGGGTGCCCAGGCTCTGCTGCGGCTGAGCTTCGACAACGCCGCGTTCACGCTGAACGAACAACGACGGCAGCGCGCACAAGAAGGCATCACGCTGCCCGACGTTTCGTGGGGATCGCTGCTGCGCCTGTTCCCGTTCGGCATGCTCGTGGACCGGTGCATGCGGCTCTTGTGGCTGGGACATCGACTGCGCATGGTGTTCGGTCAGAGCGGGGAGGCCTACCCCGGCAGGCCAGTGCAAGAACTTATGCGCCTGCACAGACCCACGGTGGCCTTTACGTGGGAAAACGTAAGCCCTCATAAGCGTACTTGAAATAAGGATCGCCGTTTCTGGGCTCCACTGACGCTTCACAGTCAGCGAGGCAGTTGGAACTGAGTCAGTATACAACCGTTATATTCAAGGTCCGAGAACGTGCGCCACCCGAGCTTGGTAGAATAGGTTTAACAATGGAGTTCAGCTTATACGTGTTGCACGGTGCCTGAGCATTAGAAGTCGCATTATGAGCAAAAGAAGTGAATAGTAGTCCATCCTGTTAGTAGTCCAGGCTCCTAACAAAAGAAAAAAAAAGGGGAAAAAAGCAGAAGTAGAGATTAGAGCACAGAAGATAAAAAAGCGCAGATAAAAATTTAATGGTATGCATCATGTATCTCCATTTTCAAACACATGGATCGAGTACAGAAATGCTGGGATGAATACTCCATGTACGAAGATGAACCAAACGAAGTTCTTCATGCCAGCTAGCTCGTTGAGATAGTCATGTTTTTATTTCGCCGCGAACACATGTGCCTTGCAAACGTGGCGCCCCCTCTGCTTTTCATTTGTCAGCGATTCGAACAATGCTTCGCTGGTTGATAGCCAGGCTGGCAGGTGGCGCACTATACAAATTCCACTTTACACGAAGGCATCTCAAGGTGCTTCACTGATCAATAACCCGGAAATTTTCAGAAAATGGCTTCTGTGCAGACATTCAAGCAGATGTTTTCGAAAGAGAGAAAGTGCCGTTAACATATTTATATCTTTATGCACTAATATGCCTTCGATTCCAGGGCGATATGCAACATAGCCAAATATAATGGTAAGGTTATATACGAGGTGAGAAAAACACAAAAAAATTTCGCCATTCTGGGATATATATATATATATATATATATATATATATATATATATATATATATATATATATATATATATATATATATATACATACATGATCATCAGTAAATTAATTAGCTGGGCGCCTTCAAGACCCCATACGCACCGACTGCTAAGTTACCATCCAGAAGATTCGATGTATTACTCATGTCGGTGATTCCGCGTATGTTTACTACAACTTATTTAAGCCTTCAAGACATTCAAACATGCGATGAACCACAGCGGAGCCTCCCTCCCTGCCATACGTCATTCCCACCGCGTTTCGATGCATTTTCATGGTGGTTACAAGAAGAATACAGCGTGTAGAAGTTTGTGGTTGCTCACTTGAACTAAATAACCTAGGGAGGTTCACCTTTGTCCCCCCTCAGTTGCTGGCCCATCAGCAAGTCGTGGTGGAGCTGGAGTGCACCTTCCCCGAACAGTCGACGGTGCCTACCCGCCGTTTGCTGCTTAAAGGAGAAATGCGCTACCTGCAAGAATCGGACGTCATCCTGTTTCTTGGAGTGCCGCTGTAAGCATGTCCTGTGTTTCCCAGCAAATCTGGAAGTGCACGTGTAGACTTGATTAAGCTGAAGTGTGGACTAGTTGGTATCCATCTATTACAATGTAGTAACTGCGCGTACAAGATTAATGAACGGAAACGGGACAGATGAAACAGAAGAAAAGAACATTTGGTTGTTCTGCCCCGGTTCATATTATTCGCAATTATATATATATATATATATATATATATATATATATATATATATATATATATATATATATATATATATATATATATAGGTATGGGATATGGCACAACGGGAGCGTTGTCAACAAGGATATATATATATATATATATATATATATATATATATATATATATATATATATATATATATATATATATATATATATATATATATATATATATATATATATATATATATATATATATATATATATATATATATGTTGGCCCATTAAATTATTACTCCCACTATATATATATAATTGCGCGTACTTCTGCTGTGACGTATCAGAGTGTCCGCGTTTGTTTCATCATGTTTGAATATACCCTTAGAATTTGTTATGAATATCTCAAATTACGCGTGGCTGCCATTATTACCAAAAACAAACATGCCTAAATTGGAATACAAGAGAACTTGCTTGTATAAACAACTGCCCTCAACACAATATTTCGACCATTAATTAACAAGTTGTGCTTGATCAATCGCATCCAAGTCATTTCAGCTGCAGTGAAGTGATGGCAGGAAGCCGCTCGCCAGTATGTCGTTTTTGCACCGTGCTAGTACAGCCTCACTAAGGTCGGAGTGAGGCATGAGGTCGATTTTGTTTTTTGGGCCAACAATAAATTAGGCAGAATATGCGCGGCTGGTAAAAGAAGGGCAGAAGCAACTGCGCAAAAGTCACATAAGTGCAAAGTCAACAAGTTATTTGGGTGCGGAAATGGCGTTGCCTGTCAAGAGTAGGCAAATTATACTATAGGGCTTGTTGGCCATTGTTTGAAGCACTGTATGTGGTATTACATATTATTATCGAAAAAATAGCCTACCAAAAAATTTCCCCTTCATTGCCATAATTGCAGGTAAACTTCCCTCTTTTCTGATCCCGAAGTGCTTGCACGTCTTTAGGACTACATTTTGCTTTCTTCATTTTGAAGACAAGTGATATATTTGTCACAAAGCGTTCAACTTCTTCACAGAAGTCTGAGATAAAGTGTTTTGGACGCGCACGTTTGAAAATTTAGCTCTTAATGAACAAGTGTTTCTGGCCACCTGCGAATATGCATTTTCTTTATTAAAACATTCAGTTGCGAGTTCTGCGCTTTTTTTGTGGCCTTTTTTGTCTTGTATTTTCTCGTTCATTGTTTTAGACAATAAATACAAGCTAAAAGAAGCGCCAGAAGCAGTCTGTACCCTTCTCGCATAATTTTAGTCGTGAATGCTAGACATTCTACTTTTCTATTCTGATGTTTCCCTTTTAAGAGCTCCATAAACTATTGTTACCGTCTATAGAACTGGCTAAAGTTTTTTTTCCCCGTATCTTTTATTACTACTACAGTATACATGCTTCGGCTACGATGCCTTCGATAAAACAGGCCATGCACTAAAGTTTACGGTATCGCGTTTCAAAAATTCGCGTAATTTATTACGTAGTAAAGTGGGCTTCGTCGTTTAAGCATCCTCTGCACTGTCATTTGCTGTGGACGGATAAATGTTTGGCGGTCATACTGGGCTTGATTTCTCGCGTCCGTGACCTTCGCCTTTTTTATCAGATTTAAAGGCCACTTTCTGCTATGCTCGTCGAAGAGCTTATCCTCTGGCGACCAATTACTGCCGGAGGGTAGGTCTGCCACGGTAATTGCCCTTGGCTGTACGGCTTAGCTGGGTTGTGCTGACGGCAGTTCGTCTCTGCTAACGTCACAGGGGAAAAAACACGCAGCAGAGAAGTGTTTTCGTGCCTAAGCCCCTATCCATCGGCCACCTTGTGATGAAGTGTTCCAAAGTTTTCTAATTTTATCCTCATATATCATTGCTTGTACGTAGTCATCAATAAGGGCCGAGGATGAGCCATTTAGCAGACTTGGTTAAAACAGCAATGACTACATAAGCGAATAACGAATCACGTGGAATCGCCTGTGAGCACCACTAATGAAGTTTGAGTGTATATATAGCATTACACGTTGCTGAGATAGAGGTCCCTGGTTCGATCTCTACTACGCCAGTCGCATCAGGAAAAAACTGGAAGTGAATGGAGCCTAATGATTACATTGAGGTATTCTGGCTCATTCAGATTAATCTGAAGATCACCCACCTACCCCTTATATTGTGTCTCGTAATTGAGTTATCGTTACGGCACTTAAAACCACAAAAAACAATTATTACTTGAAAATTTTCTACGTTTATAGAACAAAAGTATGCACCGTGAGTCAGACACAGGAGCATCTAATGGTACCAAGAGACACATGTTGGTTTTTTTTTATGTGCACGTGTGCTATCCTATACGGGGTGGCGAAGCAAGAGTTTAAAAATACGCCGACGTCCTCTATCACGGCGTGGCCAAAAACATGTTGCCTGACTATTGTCTGGAGTACTTACACTGTCAATGTGTTCTTAGCTAGCTTTTGAGTCAACGAAATTGGGTAAAAATTTGCACTGAGCGAGTTTTACATTGGTTTGGGAATCATACTATTCGTTTCTAACTTTCTGTGTGTCAAGTACATGGTGTTTTTCTGCTTTCTAGAGAACCACGCGAAACAAAAACAAAGACAATAAAAATGATCGCCTATCCCTCTATCATAAGAAACGGTATAACACGAAAGGAAAAAGTGCCTTCGCAGATTTAGTACTTATTGTGTAGTGATTATGAGAGTTTGGGCAAGGTTTATTGGCGTTTGGAAGCTACAGTGCCGTTTGACGTGCACGCACGTTGACGCCTAGGGGCACATCTCCATCACGATGACTAACGCCCATGACCATTATATTTAATGACCATTATTTGTTTATTATTGTGGTAGTTGAACTTTTCAACCTACATCTGGACACAGCGCACCGTGAATCGCGCGCGAAGGTGACATCAGCAAGCACGTAATAAACACTGGTACTGTAATAAACACGCAAAGAACACTAGTGCTTTTCAAAGCGTCGTCAATCAAGGACGTAAACGGCATGGCGTGCGTTCTCGAGTGATGTGGTAACCTACGCCTGTGCTGATGCATACACTATCACACTGCGCTTCAGCAACACGAGAGGCAGAGATTAGTGGCTAGAGCTGCGAACGCGCGCTGTCTTTCCATACCCCACTGGCCGCCACCTCGCTCCTCCAAGGCACAACATTCTACATGAAACAGACACCGTGGGTGTATGGGGAAGCATCACTACTCCGACAACGAGCCTTCACACGCCAACACAAAGCGAAATGCAAATAACATTCCTAGAGTGACACTTAACTGGGACTATAGGGTGACTCCTCGATGCTAACGTGGCCAGTGTTTGTTGCCGCTATCGGAAAGTTTTAACCATGACCTCCGCCATGCTTTACTTGCGTCGTTTAGGAATCATTTATTGTAGGTAGTAGGCGGCATGCTGCACTACTACCCTACTACTATTCATCGCTTCCAGATGGCGGCACCACCATACCCGGCGAATAGAGAGCACCAAGAGATAGAATATGTGTGGGAGATATAACTACTCTATTCTGTAGATTGGATGAGCTGTTGCATGGCAAAATTGTATGAATATAGCGCAGCTCTGTTTCAACGTGGTTAAAGGAAGCCAGTGAAGAAGGGAACTTCAGACGACAGGATCAGTGCTCAACTTCTAACTTTTGTTTATTTCGTGCACGATACATAGCTCACCTTGTTGTACACGTGCACTGCACACATGACAAAAACAAAAACAAAAAGAAACCTTAAGCAGTGGTGCAGCACACGTGACCAGAAATTGTAGCTTTAAGCAAATTTTCAAATTGACAATTTCATATCAGGATGTCACTGCACACGCCCCAGAAAATTGAGCTCTTTTTTTAGATTACGCTTCGGATGGCCTACTCACACACAGATTCGTACACTTTGGGATAAAGCTCGCCCTAATATTCTCTGTTGTCAGCTGGTTACGACTGCGGCCAAAAATGACACGATGGTCAAACAATGAAGTGCATGCACATGTCTTATAATGCATAGCCAAGAAACTACTCGAAAGAAACCTTGTTTTTTACATTGTAGCAGTGCTCGCGCAGACGATCATTCACATGCGTTCCAGTCTGTGCTATGTAAACCGCGTCACACAACAGAAGTAACACGTAAAAAACAGCTAGATAACATTCAAGCAACCTATTCACATTCTTCTTCCACAGGTGGGTTGTAACTCCTTCTTAGGATTCATAAGCGTGTATAGTTAGCTTAGTATTTCTGGAGCAGAGAACACTACATGGACGTTTTTCTCAGGACTATCTTTTTCAAATGGTAAAAATTTTATGGACAAATGGTATGACACTGGTTTTCCCAGCATCGGGCTCACCATTGTTCGGTGGTCATTCTCGCCTACGCGAACCATGCAACAAACACTCAGCCACGGACACTTGCACTATCACAGGATAGTCAGCCAAGGATAATCGCTTACTTTGTCCTGCAAATCTAGTAGCCATGGTGTGATGACATGACTTCATAAGGACCTTCTTAAAGTGCAGCCTGGTAATCCCTCGTTTTATTAGCTTTCAATGCACTGAATGTTTCTACATGACATGTTTTTCCGAACATGGTTCATAGCACCAGCAAGCATGTTCTAATGAACGGGACAGACGAAGGTCATGAAAGCGGATTGTGCCTGCTTGCGATATTTCATGTAAAATCAGTACCGTTCTAAATCAGAACCGCCACACGAGACTCGATCGCGAAAATTCACACATCCACCTCTATTTCAAGCTTCGCAAGGCATGCCACCTTGCACGCTGAAGTGCATCACGCTGCGTCTGTCCTACGCTTTACACTCATTTATTCCTGCGCTTTTATTGA